GCACTTCCAGGTCCACTGGAGAGCATTCTAGGGAGCCCTCCTGCACCCCTCCAGTTTGGCAACCAGTGCCTCCTGGGTCTGGGACAGAGACACCCAGTGTCCCCCCATTGCTGACTCCGTAGTGGACACAGAAGTACTTCTGGTCCACTTCCAGGTCCACTGGGGAGCATGCTGGGGGGCCCCTCTGCACTCCTGTGGGATAATCCATCCGCCCCACCATTTTAGCATTCATGGGCCATGCCTGGTACCTTGAGGTATGTAGAAAAAAAAAAAACATTTAAAGCTGTGTCTATGGCCAAGTCACCAATTCTCCAAATCGGCATCAAATCTTCAGATTTGGATTTGTCTGAATCAAATCGGGACAGTGATCTGAATAAACTAATCGACTCACTGTCCCCGATTCAGGCCAAATCCAAATTGAATATGGCCTGTTTCAGACACTCCTACTTTGTAGCACTCTGCTTACACCACCTCATGAGTCAGCACTCTAACCTCGGCTAGAGCTTATCTACCGAGCCTGCCCTGTCCCCGAGCTGTCACTGCCCAGAGACAGCAAAGCCTGTCCCCAGGCCCATGTCCTTCCACAGGTTAGATCCATCCACACAAAGAAAGTTGCTTAGTGCTGAATTTCTCTTATCACATGTTGTCATGGGTAAAGTTGAGTGAGTAAAGTTGAATGTGGTTCAGCTGCTATTGTAGGCTCAAAATAACTTGAGCTGCTTCTGCTCACAGTTAACTTGTTTTAGGAAGATTAATCTGCACTGATTTTTGGCAATGGACAATTTCCTTAATGGATGCAAGGCTTTTTGACATAAAATCATGTTTAAATCTTGACTATCTAACATGGTTCAGAACGGCATCAAGATAAGTTTGGTGATGAAAATGCCCTCTAACTCCAGCCTCTAACAAGGTACTTAATAGTTTTGTAACACTGTCAGATTGTACTGTGCTTTTTAAATGCTGTTACAAAATCCCAGGTGTAGACAGGAACCCCAGCTCCTATTGCTATAAAAATATACTTGAACATAACTAAATGTACATCAGCACACCTATACATACTAATATGTACCATCATTATTTCCCAACTTGTCTGGGGAAATCAAATGTATATGTAAAGTGTAGATTGTGCGAAGTACTTACACTGCCTGTGCTCAATACAGGATGCAAGACCAGAAACCCATGAGTCCAGCTCACAGGCCCAAGGTCCCAGAAACCTTGGATGCATTTAATAGCCCATAATAAAGAAGCAGAGATTATTTCTCTGTTCTCATGTCTTAAAGCCAATTTCGAATAATTCCGGTCATTCGAGTAATGGCTTGGAACCATGTGTGCTTGACAGAAAGCTGTTTCAGACAATCTGTTACAGAGTTTGAGGTATGCTGCTGAGAGTCCCATAGATAGATACAGAGGCCAGCTAGCTCCGGGAACTCTTCTTTTTTTTTTTTTTGGTCAAGCTCCCAAATTGTTTGTTTTAATTGTCCTAGCTATATTAATAATATCCAATGGTCTTGTGGGCTTTAATGTAGTGTTGCTTTCTTAGAGCCACTCAGCAATCACTCAAAACCCTCTAGGACACAGTGGGCACATCTACACATGCAATTAATGTACTTGAATAAACTCTGATGCAGCTCATGCCACAATTTATTGCTCCCTGGCACAGTGTTTATACATGCACCCAGGACCACAGCATGTTGAGCCAGGTCAGTGCGGCTTCAGCTGGCAGGGAGCCCGGGGGCCAGCCCAGAGCTGCTCCACCCTGGCTCAACATGCTGTGGAGGGGCCAGCTGGGGCACAATATTGCTACAGTATAGGGGTAGCTGGCATGCACCCCCCCCCCCCACACACACACACACTGTAGCACCCTTGTGCCCCAGCTAGCCCCAATCACCATCTACACATGTTTTGTGGAGGAGTAAATAACTCCACCATAGGATAGCACTTGTGTTGAGCAGCACTATCCTACAGCAGAGTTAATTAATTTACTCCAACCCAATAGTGCTGCACATGTAAACATGCCACTTTACTATGGAGTTTGCTAAATTAGCTTTGCAGTAAAGTGCACATGTAGATGGTCTATGATGTTCCCCATAAGAAAGACCTGGCATTCTTCAGTGG